ATGGGCGGCGTGTCCGGTCGGGGGGCAGTTCATGTGAAATTTAGCTGCGGATGCCAAGCCTTCTTCACAGTTGTTTCGCATTCCAAACAACACGAGTCCAGCCGATGCCGTGCGCACATGCATTTTGCAACATTGACATGTGGTGTTTTGGAGCGTTGAAATGTAGCTTGCCTGGATATCATGATACAGGGTGTTCCTTTCTGTGGCCACGATGGCGGCTGTGGGCACCAGCCAGCTGAGCAGGTTGGCTAGTGGCCTGATGATGGGATTTATCCCCTTCCGGGACACTTTTTCCAGTGATAGCATCGGTGCCATCAGCACCGTGCCCCTGCGAAGGCAAGAGCACAAGGTGAAACCTATTCTAGCAAGGATTCACATCATCTACATTGAATAAAAAGTGGTCGCAAACACAATAATCGGCAGGCAGGCAAATGCGCACTTGATCAGGCTCTCCCCCGAGGCCTTGCTAGCCAGCACGGCATTGTATGCGATGCAGCCTCCCAGCGAGATCCCGCAAATGAAGACGGGGAGACCTGCAAAACCGGGGATGCCCAGAGACTCCTCCCGCACCGCACTGCGGGCAGGGTGCCTGTGTGAATAAGCACTTCCCTCCTGGCGCAAAAACAGCCCATGGCCACTTTTGCAATGCTGGCTGAAGTTCCTGCTCCGCATCCACTCACCGCGCCAGCTGCAAAACATCCTCCACATAGTCCTCAAACCGCTCCACATAAAATCGCAGGCCCTGCTTGCCCTCGCTGCGTCCACACCCCTACAAACCCAGGAGGAGCAGAGGGAGACAGAGACAGGTGGAGATTGCTACCTCACGTGCAAGCGCGCTAGGTTGACGCGAAGCAGGCTGGTTTGGAGCACATGCCTGCAAGTCTAGGCCGCACACGCTGATGCCTCGCTGGTTCCACTGCTCCACCCAGCTGCCCTCGTACTTCATGGGCTGGCCCAGGCTCTGCAGGCCCCAACATGGTGGAAGGAGACATGCATGCCCAGCAGCAGATGGGTGAGAGGCGGCGAAGGCCTGGGTGGCCAATGGCCTTGTCAGTAGCAGAACACCCTGTTCAGCTACTGTGTGTTGCTGCGGCAGGCCTACGCCACCCTGTCCCCGCACGCCAGCTGGTCGCAGCCTGTGCCGTCAATCCCGAGCGCCGATGCGCACCGTCGCCTTGCAGATCTCAAACATCAGGTGGGCGCCGTGGCCGTGGCAAAACAACACGATTGCCTTTGCGCTGGAAGGCGCCGCCGGCCAGAAGTACGTCTGCAGCCGAAGACCGTCCTTGTTCATCATCTCATGCCGCTGGCCATGGGGTCCGAGGTACAGCTCCGCCTCGACCTGCGAAGAGCACGTTGGGTACTGTGGCGACCCAAGCAGCTGGGCAGCTTCCGCAGCGGCGAGATGGCGGCCGCGGCTTAGGCTCCCCACGAGGGGAGCCTTAGGGCACCATTCACTCACCTCATCGTAGCACGTCGTGGGGACGCCCACAGGCAGGGAATCAAGCAGGCGGAAGGCGTGCTGCGGAGCAACACCGCCCCCACTCTCTTGGAGCTTCTCCTCGAGCTGCGCCACCGCCGCTTCCCCTGCCATCGCGTTGCTGTCCCCTTTGGCCGCTTTCCCTGTGCACGCAAGAGCTCTTGCTGGCAATGCTGACTCTGCGGCTAGCTTTCGATGCTGAATTTGCCAATTCGATGCACATCAGAGGAAGCACACCACAGAATCGCCGGCCAATGGCTTTTTCCTGCCTTCTAGCCCCGCAAGAAGGCTCCAAAACGGCTCGATCGCTTTCAAAGAGCGAATCTAGGTGCCCGCGCACCGATTGGAGGTCCAATCCGGCTCGGGTTGTGCTGCTACACCCCCAGCCCAAGGGTTGAGCCTGTAGTGGCCTGGACGGTGCTCAGACGGCAGCATCATGCTACGGCTGCGTCATGGTGGGCGGCTGATCGGGCAGCTGGCCCAGGCGGGCCGAGGGTTCGCCGCCGAGGCGGCTCTGGCGGAGGAGAGCCCCTACCTTCGCTTTGGCAGCCCCTTTGCGCAGCAGCTGAACCTCACCCCGGCCCTGGCGCAGCTGGCAGAGACGAAGGTGAGGGCGAGGGTTTGTCACTGAGACTGGGGCGGGGGCGGGAACCCCCCCGGGGTTCAACGGCCTGCTGTGGGCCTTCACATTTGGCGTTTGCTGTTAGTTGGGCCTTGATACATAGTACTGCCACTCCGCTCTTCCCTGCCACCTGCAGGTGACCCGCCTGCCCAATGGGCTGCGAGTGGCCAGCGAGGCTGTGCCGCATTCCAGCACCGCCACCGTGGGCGTGTGGATCGATGCAGGCAGCCGCTATGAGACAGACGCCAGCAATGGCAGCGCGCACTTCTTGGAGCACATGGCCTTCAAGGGCACCACGGTGGGTTGGCAGCACAGCGCTGTCGGCGTTCATTGGGAGAGCTTTTGCAGCAGCCATTGACCCACTGCAGTGTAGACGTGCCGTGCCGGCTGCATGCAATTTGGCCGATTACCAAGTATCAAGGGGGTGATCATCACGGGTGCCCTTTACCGGCTGTTGGCTGGCTGGGCCGCCCGGTTTGTGCGACTGCAGTCCCGCACGGGGCGCGAACCTGGAGGTGAAGATGAGAACATGGGGGGGCCACCTGAACGCCTCCCCTTCCGGCGAGCAGGTGTGTGGGGGACGAAGCATGCAGGGGGCAGGGCGACGAAAAGAAGGCCGAAACCCGCCGCTTGACGGTATCTCCACCCCCTGCTGGAGAAGTGCGTGCCCTTTGTCTCGTCATCCATGCCTCCTGCCCGCTTCGCTGCAGACATGCTATTATGCCAAGGTGTTTGAGAAGGATGTGCCCAAGGCGCTGGAGATCCTGGCGGACATCCTGCAGAACTCAAATCTGGATGAGCGCGCCATTGAACGGGAGCGGGATGTCATCCTGCGCGAGATGCAGGAGGTGCTGGCCTGCGCCGGCTGAGGGATGGAGGCAGGACATCCAAGGCACAGAGCTTGTGCAAAATAACAGCTTGTTGGTGCAGGATGCTCTTGCACGAGGGTTAGTGCATTTGTCGTGCGATCTCAATTGTTGTGAGCGCTTCCTCACTCAACTGCCTGCAGGTGGAGGGCATCCCCGAGGAGGTGATCTTTGACCACCTGCACGCCACTGCCTTCCAGCACTCGCCGCTGGGCCGCACCATCCTGGGGCCCGCCGAGAACGTCAGGTGGGTGGACCTTGGGCGAGCTGAGCTGGTGGGGTTGTGGACGCACCCATGCGCTGGGTGTCGATCTGATCTGTTGCCAGAGTCGCTGCTCGAAAATTCCTCTTGTACCGCCACTCCAATGCAGGACCATCACCCGCCAGCACCTGGCTGACTACATCGCGTCCAACTACACTGCCCCCCGCATGGTAATCTCTGCGGCGGGCGCCGTGGACCATGCCGCCCTGGTGGCAGCTGCGGAGAAGAGCTTTGCAAAGCTGCCCTCAGGCGGCAAGTCAGCGGGCGACCTGGTCAAGGAGGTGGGTGTTGGGTGCGCTGGGGTGACACCAGCACGCGACGTGGGTGCATGAGAACTGGCTGGGTGGTGAGTGCTTTTACTTGACTTGTGCTGGTTGGCTGGCAGGGACAGAAGCCCCCTTGTTCCGTCTGCATTCCAATGCCGCCCCCCCGCCCTTTTTTCCCCCTCATGTCTCCACACAGGCCCCCGCCATCTTCACTGGCAGCGACGTGCGCATCCGCGACCCCGACCAGCCCAACTTGCAGTTTGCGGTGGCCTTCAAGGGTGCCTCCTGGACCGACCCAGACTCCATCCCGCTCATGGTCATGCAGGTAAGCCCATGGGCAGCTGGCAGACTGGGGCGCAGCGTGTGCAACCTCGTTCCATGCTTCTGACCCATTCATGCACTCTCCATGCCCTGTGCAGACCATGCTGGGCGCTTGGGACAAGAACAGTGGTGCAGGTACCGATATGGGCAGCCAGTTGGCGCAGACTGTGGCTGCGAACAAGCTGGCCAACTCCTACATGGCCTTCAACACCAACTACCATGACACTGGTGGGTGGGGTGGGGTGGCGGGGTGGATTTTGACAGGAAAAGGACCCTGGCTGGGCGGGAGCCTTATGACGGCAGGAGCCGGGGGGTCAGCACTTAGGGCGAGTGAATGCAGATGGATGGACCCGGCCAGGATGCATCTGGCGGCATTTTTATTGAGTTGAGACCTCAAAAACATTCCATCTCCGCGTGCTCCCCTGCAGGCCTGTTTGGTGTGTACGCCGTGGCCGACCCGCACAGCGACCACGAGGACCTTTCCTGGACCATCATGAACAACATCACCCGTATGTGCTATTCGGTGAGGGCATTATGCATTAAGGCGCAATGATGGTGTGGGGGCCATTCCTGCGCAGCTTGGTTTGTTGGGATTTTACACCCATGTTGGGATTTACCCCATGCCGAGCTGGCAGTGCTCCTTTGTCAGGCAGCTCACGTTTTGCTTCCTTCTCGTTGCCTCCCCCTAGAGCCTTTCCCTGCTGCCTCCCCCCTCATCCCTCTCCACCGCCTGAGCCTGGCCGCAGGTCGAGGAGGAGGACGTAGCACGTGCCCGCAACCAGCTTAAGGCCTCCATCCTGTTCAGCCAGGACGGCACCACCGGTGCGCCCTGCCCCTCGTGTGTGCGTGCCCTGCCCCCTCCCCCCTCCACCTCCACCCATCACCCTCCTTGTCCCTGCCTCGGGCTTGGTTCAGGCATTGCGGAGGACATTGGCCGCAATTTGCTGGTTTACGGACGGCGCATGCCCAAGGCCGAGCTGTTTGCTCGCATCGACGCGGTGGACAGCGACACGGTCAAGGCTGTGGCCAACCGCTTCATTCTGGACCAGGATGTGGCCATCGCAGCGCTGGGGGACACACAGGTGTGGACAAAAGGCGCTTGGGGTGGTGGGCGATGGTGCCCAGTGGTGGGTGCAGGACTAGGCCGCAGCTGAGGGGCGGAGGAGCGCTGTGCGGCAAAGTGGATCGGCTCCACCTTGTGAGCCACCTTTTGACTTTGAATTCAAACACGCCTCCAACGTCGTGATTCTGCTGCAGTTCCTGCCCGATTACACCTGGATGAGGCGCAGGACGTACTGGCTTCGCTATTAACGCTCCAACTGTTTCACAGTCGCGCTCCGTAGGGATGCACATGCAGGAGACGAGGGCTCAATGGTGTTGCATTTCCTGATTGGACGCATTTGTTTGTGGCTTCTCTGCAAGCTGCCAATGTTGCACATTGTAAACTGTCGTCAACTTGACAATTTTCAACAACAACAACGTTGCCGCTGCTCACGCCAGCGGGCGTACTTGCATGGACAGGCGTACATCAGCATGGGGAGCCAGCGCGTTGCAGAACTTGAGGGAAGCGTTCGTTCTTCGCAAGTCCCGCGATGGCTCGTGCGCCAAGCTTGCTCACGGGTTTTGCTGTGGCGCTAATCTCTATGCTGACAGGGGCAGCATGCGTGCACGCGATATATAAGCCCTCTCTGTGCATCCCCGTCAAGGGGAGCTCTGAGAGCGATTAGGCCGGGGTTCAGCGCCGTGGAAGCTTTGCGCCGCGGTCATGTCGGCTCCGAGCAGCAGGGCCCACTGTGAATCTACTCTATTTGAGTCGTATGCAGCGGCGTGCCGCACCGGGGCAGAAGTGGAGGGCGGTGACGGCGGTGACGGCGCCGCCTTCGAGGTGCGGGTGCGGGGTGGCTCCGTCTTGTCATCAAGCCCTCCTGGCATTTAACCATTTTTTTTTTCTATGCTCGCAGGAGGGTGTGGAGCGAGTGAAGGAGCACCTGCTATCTGCGTCTGGGGATGGCGCCATCTGCATGGTCTGCCTGTGAGTGTTGCCGCCGGCCCTCTGCTTGGCTTGTGGAGGGCCTGACACCGACTCTTGCGCCTCCCCGGCATTTCCTCCCCCAGGGAAAACATCCGCCCAACGGATTCGGTGTGGAGCTGCCAGGACGGCTGCTATGCGGTCCTGCACCTGCCCTGTGTCCAGGTGGGCTGCCACAGGACAGTCAGCTGTCTGGTCCCTCTGCGCGCATCTTAGCGTCAACCTACATTGTGCCACATGTGCAATGCTACTGCTGCTTTGCAGTCGTGGGCACGGCGCACGCTAGCGATGGTCCAAGAGAAAGCTGAACAGCGCCTGGATCCACGACTGTTCCCTGCCGCAGCAGCAGAGGCTCGGAGGACTGCCGCCTGGGGCTGTCCCAAGTGCCGGTGGGTGCCTGATGCCAAGTGTGCGTTGCGTTGTCAATTCTAGTCTGGACTATGAGTGAAGTGGGTTGTGCCCGGCACCATTACCTGCAGGCAGGATTATGAGGCGGTACCAGGGGGCTATACCTGCTGGTGTGGCAAGGTTGCCAACCCAGATTTCAACCCTTGGGGCACGGCACACAGGTGGATGGGTGGTCTGACGGGGTGCTCTCCCGGTGTGTGTGCAGACCAATTCTATCATGCACATTGCCCGGCCACCAGTGCACCCATGCACAACACGTTCATACTGTACTGGCACTGTTGCGGCTGCAGCTGTGGCGAGCACTGTGAGCGGCCGGCACCCAGCTGCGAACACCCCTGCATGCTGCTCTGCCACCCAGGTTGGTGCCAATCCTAGCCACTAAGCAGGGGCGTTGTAACAGCCACCGTCCCGGCTTGTTGTGTTGTTGTTGGAGTTGTCTGATCACCCTGCTGGTGATCACCCGGCACCCGCTCCATGCAGGGCCCTGCCCTCCCTGCCCCCGTGTTATCTCCACCAGCTGCTTCTGCGGGGCGCTGGTGACGGACAAGCGATGTGGGCATCACGAGTTTAGCTGCGGCGGCACCTGTTATGCACTGCTGCCGTGCGGCCACACCTGCCCCGCGATATGTCACGACGGCGGCTGCCCGCCCTGTGGGGAGTTGGTTTCAACTGTCAGCTGCCTGTGCGGCGCGGAGGTGGCGCAGCTGCCATGCAGTCAGCAGGAGCTTTTCAAGGTGGGTGTGCCTGTTGGGGATCGGCAGCATGGCTGAGCGTCCCATTCATTGCGTCTGCTCCCAGGGCCCCTGCTGATTTCGCCCTGCTTATTGCACACCCTGTTCGCTCTGCGCAGTGCCCCCGCGTCTGTGGCAAACTGCTGGATTGTGGGCGTCACCACTGCGAGGAGGTGTGCCATGCTGGCACCTGTGGCCCGTGCAAGCTGGCAGGCCCGAAGGCCTGCCCATGTGCAAAGACGCAGTTGGCGGATGCGGCCTGCGATGTGGTGGTGGGACCCTGCGGGGAGACGTGTGGCAAGCTGCTGATCTGCGGCGTGCACACCTGCCACGAGAGGTAGAGGACAGGAGGGGAGAGATGTGTGGTGTGAATGCTAGAAGTTCAGCAAAACTTGATGCGTTTTCGCTGTTTGTGGCTATCGAGAAGCGCCAAATTGCCTGGTTGGAGCTGTGATTTCTGTTTGGCCCCTTTGGTGCAGATGCCACGCAGGCCCCTGCACAACTGTTTGCCGTGAGCAGGTGAAGAAGCGATGCGAGTGTGGGCAAACAGAACGCGTCGTCCAGGTGTAGTACATTGTGTGCAAAATGTGCCTCAGCAGGATTGCTTGTGCTTTTTGCGAGCTGCTGACTTGTTTTGTCCGGCACGAATGATGTTTGGGGCATTCATTCGTGCACTGTTGGGATCTGCAGTGCCACGAGAGTTTCAAGTGCGAGCGGCGATGTGAGAAAATGCGGAGTTGCGAGCGGCATCCTTGTCGGCGCCGCTGCTGTGTGGCTTGCCCCCCCTGCGAGGAGGTCTGCAAGAGATGGTTGAAATGTAGGACGCTGTGAGATTGCGACTAATGGACTGGCATTGCAATCTTGCTGCTCATCTCGCCGCACCTTTCTATGCGGCGCCCCACCCCCCGCACCTTTCTATATGACGCCCCCCCTCCAGCCCCGCCATTCTGCTGCGCAGGCCGCAACCACAGGTGCCCTGCGCCGTGCCACAGCGGCGAGTGCGCCCCCTGCCCGCTGAGCGCTCGCATCAGCTGCGCATGCGGCAAGACGCACTATAGGTGGGTTATGGGTGGGCAGGACAGACATGGGTTAATGAAGCATGCAGTGCCTGCTCCTAACAATGGCAATGGCACGATTCAGCAACGCACATTGCATATCGGTCTCCGCCTGCCAGGCTCTTGACGAATGTGCTTGGCCGGCTGCCGCCCACCCTCTCTCCGCCGCGTGCAGTGTACCCTGCGGCCGTGAGTCGACAGCCAAGCCGCCGCCATGCAGGCAACCATGCCCGGTCCCATCGCTCTGCCGCCACGCAGCGGCACAGCCACCACACTGCTGCCACTTTGGACCCTGCCCTCCATGCACAGTGCCAGCATGCGGCACGCAGGTCAGTAAGGAACCGCATAGAATGGATGCGGGGCGCCAGGCTTGACGCCTGCTGTTTGCCCACATCTCAATCAAGTCGAAATTTATGGCTCACCTGGCCTCTTGGCCTCTGGATGGCCTTTTTTTCTTGCAGCTGGCTTGCGGGCACGCCTGCAGCCTGCTGCACTGCCATGACCCTCCGCCACCTGCTACCCCAGAGTACCAGCCACCACCGCCGCCAGTGTCGCCTGTGGTTCTGGCGTTGCCAGGCAGCGCCAGCGGCAGCGGCAGCAGCAGCAGCAGCAGCAGCAAGCAACAGCAGCCTGAGCGGCAGTTGCCACCGGCACAAGCCACCGCAGCAGCGGCGCGGCGATTGCAGAACACGATGCCACGCACCCCCGAGGGACAATTGAGCAGCTGCTTGCCGTGCCCCATCCCCGTGCCGGTCACGTGTTTCGGCGGGCACATCACAGTTCAGGTGAAATCTGCTCCATGATCTCTGCTGCCTTGTCCTCCCCATCCAGGCTACAGCCCTAGGACATGACTGGAAATTGACGGCCCTGGCCCACCTTGCATTGCCCGCAGGTTGCCTGCAATAGCGCTGCACCCTTTGCCTGCCAGCAGCCTTGCGGACGAAAATTAGAGTGCGGGAATCATACCTGCAGTCTTACGTGCCACGACGATGCGCAGCAGCAATGTGCATACTGCACCCTGCCCTGCCAACGCCCACGGGACACCTGCGAGCACGCCTGCCCACTGCCGTGCCACCCGGCCAGCCAAGCCTGCCCGGCGTGCCTGGTTGGCATAAGGGTGCCATGCCACTGCGGCAGGACCACTCTTGAGTTTTCCTGCTGTGAGATAAATGCGGCCGCGCCTTCAGCTCGCCTCAACTGCGGCAAGACCTGCCACCGGGAGCTGCCTGGCTGCCCGCACACCTGCGAGCTTGAGTGCCATGCCGGCACCTGCACCAGCGTGGGCTGTGCCAAGGAGGTGACGGTGCGCTGCGCCTGCAAGCGCAACAAGCGCAAGTTGGCGTGCGCAGAGGTGCAGCGCCTGTTGCTGGCGGCGACTGGCAGCGGCACCTATGATGACACCACGTCGCTGCGCCTGCTGATCTGCGATGATGGCTGCGCCAAGGCGGCAGCCACGGAGGCTGCGGCGGCACCTGCAGCAGCGAAGGGCAGTGGCGATGTGCCTGGCGCTCCCCTTACACCGCCGATGGCAACAAAGGCCAGCACTGCCGCCGCAGAGGCGCCCAAGCGCAAGATGACCCGCGAAGAGAAGCAGCGTGAGCGGGAGCTGGCGCGCCAGCAGAAGGACGCGGAGGAGCGGCGCAAGCAAATCGTGCATGGACTTGTTTTTGGAGTGCTGCTGTGCATCGCAGTTCTGCTGGCGCTCTTCTTGCGCCACCTGGCGTTGGTCGTGGACCGCAAAGCGCAGGAGGCGTGGCGCCCAGAGCTTTGAACCTGAACATGTATCGTTTCTCCATCATTGCCGCTTCTACCCCAGTTCACAGTGCTCCTTGTAACAAGGGTTGTTATCATCAAGTGCGGAAATGAATGAAAAAGAGATGGAGCGGCATGCATTGCTGGCAAGCAAAAGGCAAAAGCAGAGACAAGTGCAGGTCATATTGGGCAGGGCCGGTCTTAAGGCCTGGGCAGTCAATAAAGCGGAGAGTGTAGGGAAGTACAATCGACTCGTGCATCGGCCACGGCAGCAGCAATGCAGCATGGAGTGGAGGCCATTTCAAAAAGCAGGGTTTGGGAGAGTGATAACCAGTTTGCGTACGGTCTGCGCAAAGATGTGCCAGGGCGCCTCCGGCTGCAGGAGAAGCCAGTCACCATCCACGTCTTGGTAAACCAGACGCGACCTGCGGTCGCTGGGCAGCTGATCTGCACGCCTCATCAAGGCAGGGAACGGGGGATGGATGTGGATGAGCATGAGCAAATAAGACAAATGCCTTTGCATCCCTGCTGCAGTTGTAAAGCGCAAACCTGAGCCAGGCGCAACCAAGGCAGACCCCTGGCCTACGACATAGATACGTCGCGGCATGTTCGGCTGCGCACCTGCAAATTGCGAGCGCACGGCCTCCCACAGTTCACCATGCCCGCTGTACATCGTCACCACCAGCTCCCCCATATGCTGTGCCGCCTCGGCAGGCGCCAGCAGCAGCTCCACAGGCGTGCCGATGCTGGTGCTGCCTGCCTCGCCACCATTAGCCGGCTGTGCTTTCAGGGCCGCCGTTGGCTGCGCTGGCGAAGTGGCCTGCTGCAGGTGACGCTGCTCACCTGCAGCGCTCGGGCCGCCCTCGCAGTGCGCGCTGGAGGGGTTGCTTCCCGCATGCTCCTGCTGCTGCTCCTGCTTCACAAGTGCAGGCTTGGGTGCCGGCACCTTGGTCACTGCCGCCATCGGCTTGGCAGGCCTGCCGGCGGCCTCTCCTTGCACCTTCACCCTTACGGGCTTGTCCGCTGGCGCTGCATTAGCCTTGAATGCTGCCTCCTTCCTGCCCGGACGCTCCCCTGTAGCTCCCTCCTTCTTGCCAGGCCGCCCTGCAGCCCCCGTCTGCTTGGGTGGTGCCTTTTCTGCGCCGTCCTTGGCTGCAGCCCGGCTGGCCTTGCCAGCATCACCACCACTTGCTGCACCGCCCTCGCGCTTGCCGGGATTTGCTGCTGCTCCTGCTGCCGCCATTGCGGGTTTGCTTCTGGGCTTGCCGTCTGGGCGAGGCCTGCCCTCTGCATTGGGCCTGCCGGAATCCAGCTTGGGCTGCTGCTGCACCAGGTGTGTCGCTGCCGGCCCGCCGCCGGCTGCGTCTATTTTGGCTGCCCCTGCCTGCGCTTGCCGCTGCTTCTTGACAGCCAGGCTGCTGCAAAGCCGGGACGGTCATGAAGAAAGTCAGTTTGGAGGGCAAGCCGCAGGCGGACGCAGGCGGACCGAAGCGGACTGGCGGGAGGCGGCCAGCACCCAGCAGCATCGCACCTGTCTTGCTGCTGCCTTGCTCCCGTTCCGCAGCTCTCCAGCAGGCGCTTTTTGGGCAGCAGCGCGGCCCCGTTTGCTGGCCGCTGCAGTGCCTCTGGCGCAAAGGCGGCGGGCTGCTGCGCGGGAGGGGCCTCGCCCAGGCCACCTTGTGCCGCGGCAACAGCCAACCAGCGCTGGCGGAATGCCTTGAGGTGCGCCATAGCAGGAGCTGACACTGTGTGCGGGATTGTCGTGCTCTGGGGGTGCAAGCTGTGTGTGCGCGCCGTCGATGTCAGAATTCTGCAGAAACTGAGCAGGAGCCGCTTTTCTGCATGGCATATGGACAGGTGTGACAGCATGCCGGTGCGCCCACGCGATCGCGTGGCCACGCATCACCGCCTCGCACCGCACCGCCGCGTCATAGGTGCAACACTCTGTTGCAACCAGGAATGACAATCCGGCTGTTTGCTTAAGCACTTTTGCCCGCTGCTCCACGCCAGGCACAACACTGAGCGACCCAAATTGTTCTTGACGTGACACGACAGGTTGCCAACGGCGCTGCAATGGTCCAACTGAGCTGCCCCTCCATGATTGCAAACGCTGAGACACAAAGGACATGCAGGCAGCGGGCGTGCCGTCGCACCCGAAGGGCTGTGTGAGCCCTGCGGCGCGGTCAACGACAGCGGCCGCTGTCGTTGACCACGCCAGCGCATGGCGGCGAGCAGCGTTGGCTCCCGTCGAGCCTGGAAGCTGGAAGCCGCCAATATGCTTTTCATGTCATTTTTCGAAACTTTGGTGACTTGCAGGGAGGTCATGTGCACAGAAAACCTGGCCACCTGGCAGGTGGTGCGCACACAACCCCAAGGGTCCTCGCCATTTGTGAGGCGGCCACACCTAACCTTCATTCAGTTCAAGGCAGATTTGATGGCACCGCCTGGCCTGGCCCTCAAGGGACCTTGCACTGCTTGAGCTCTCCCCTCCCGGCGTGGTTTCGACACCCGCAGGGCCCTCGGTCGCCCGACTGCAGCCCCAGCCCGCCTCCTATCGTGGGACGCCCGCCAGAGGGGGCACCAAAGGGCCCGCCCTCCACGAGCCCGAGGCAGCCAGCTAATGCACGGCTCGCCCCACAGCGAGGGCATGGACAAGGAGCGGTCCATCCCCCTGGCGGAGGGGCGCTATCAGTCGCCCCGCGCCGCGGCGGGGCGCAGCGGGCAGCCAGGCGGCTCCCCCGCCAGCCTGGGTGTGCAGAGTACGGTCAGCAGCGAGGCACCAGAGTATTCGGAGAATGCGCACCTAATTGTGGGCAGCTCGGCGCTTAGCGACGATGGCATGACGCCATTGATATACGTGAGTGAGGCCTCCGAGGCGACATGGCAGCGACCAGCCGTGTGTGGTCGCACAGCGCCCTCTGTCGTGTTGGTTTGGTTTGTGGCGGGGCAGCAGAGGTTGGGGATCAGTATTCGGGAGGCGGCCCAGCATAACACTGGGTCCCCTTCTGTGCACACTGTGCTGCAGCCCTCGCGCACGGGGAAAGATAAGCTGCTGCAGATCTGTAAGCGGTTAGTAGGCTTCATCCTCGCCCACTGGTCCAAGGCCGCCATCCTCGCCGTGCTCATTACTCTCATTGTTCTTGTGTCAGTGAAGGTATGCCGTTTGAGGGGCGCATGTGTGTGCTGCTGTGTTCGCCGGCGATCACCTATTAATCATGTCGATGCTCCACTTTCTGCCATCTGCCATTGCACCACGCTTGCGTCCCCCCAGGGCTTTGGCTTCTTTGGCGACATTTTGACATGGTTTCAGCGGCATAATGGCTGGGCAGGCTGGGGCATCTTTGTCGGTGCGTTGAGCGGCCTGCCTGTAGTTGGTGCCCTAGTCTCGTGCTCACTTGGCATGCGCCGACGTTTTGCAGGCATGTACACAGCGATGGTGGCATTGTTCCTCCCCGGTGTGGTGCTCATCCTGGGCGCCGGCTTTGTTTTTGGCTTTTGGCGTGGCCTGCTGGCAGTGTGGGCTGGCGGTGCGGTGGGGCAGGCGCTGGCGTTCCTGCTGGCACGCTACCTGTTCCATGGGTGGGTGGAGAGCACGCTGAAGCACAAGTGGAAGAAGTGGGCCATCATCGACAAGGCCATTGAGCACGACGGCTGGAAGCTAGTGCTTATCATGCGGTTCTCCCCCATCATCCCATACAACCTGGTGCGCCGCTGTCAGGAGTTGGCCTTGCAAAGTGCCAGGGCACGTCCTCTCCCTGCCGTGCAATCCTCAACATGCTATGGCACACCTGTCCTGTCCTTTTCACCCCTTGGCCCCCCCCGCCCCGCTGCTTTGCTTGCAGCTCAACATTGCCATGGCCACCACCAACATTCCCTTCTGGCAGTTCACTGTGGTTTCGGCGGTGGGCATCCTGTACGAGTGCGCCGTGTTTGCATACTTTGGCAGGTGAGGTTGGCAGACAGCCCGCTGCTGACTGACAGCAGCGCACTGTCCACGATGCCATGCTGCTGGCACCCAGTAAATTTGTCCTTGATTGCACTCTTTGTCCTCGATTGCACTCGACCTGTCACTCCCCCACTCCCCCCACTGCAGCATGGCGGACAACATCCACTCCATCATCAGCGGCGAGGGCGGACGTCCCCCATGGTTTGAGTGGGTGATGCTGGGCGTGTCACTGGTCATGTGCGGGGTCGGAGCGCTCTTCGTTTCGTACTCGATCAAGTGAGTGGGCCAGTGTCGGCTCCTAATGCAGGACCTATGCTTTCTAGAGCGCCCTAGCTTGCTGACCAGCACCGACCTTCCCTGCCATGCGGCTCTACTGCTGCAGGCAAGCCATCAAGCGCGCACAGAGCCACATGAGCTCGGCACAGGTAGAGGGTGAGGGCCTTGGGCAAGATGGGGAGCAGCTGGAGCTGGACGATCCGGAGGTGGGCGTTCGCATGGATCGCACATATCCCGCCTCGCTGGAGAGGGAGGGCTTTGTGGGCAGTAGCACAGGCTACACGGCGCTGCACCTGCCCAGCAGCCCCGAGTTTGAGCTGAAGGCGGTGGGGGGCACTGGCGGGCCAGCAGCAGCAACGGGCCTGACGGCTGCAGCTCTGCCGCGCGAGAAGGCGCCCCTGCTGAGTGGCGGCAGCACTGGCCTGCTGGCCCTTACAGCTACGGCAGCTAGCGGCAGTGGCAGCATTCAGACGTTGCTGGCAGCGGCCAGCGGGGCCAGCGCCTCGCGCAGCACCTCTGCAAAGCAGAAGATTAGCCCCAAAGCCTCCCTGGACCGCGACCTTTCTCGCCGTCTTACTGCTGGACTTGACGGCGGCAGCGGCGAGGACGGTGGCGAGGCGCCGACGGCACGTGCCACGCGACGGCACCCCTCCATCAGCAGCGAGAGTGCGGTGTGAGCCATGCAGTCGCACCCTCCTGCCGGCTGTGAACCATTGTCCCCTTCATGTGCTGTATGTACCTCCCAGGCAGCATGCCCATCCTTTTTGTCTGCTTTTGCTAAGCAATCCCTTTGCACTGCCTATCATCCTTTCCCGCCTGAACACTCTGGCCTGCTCCTCACTCTTTTGCTCGCCTTTGCTGAGCATTGATATGTCTCATGGCTTCCTCCCACAGACGCATCACGCGTACTACGGCTTGCTTTACAACTTGGCTGGGGGGCGACCGTTGCCCCACAAATGGAACGCAAACACACAACTGGACAACGCAAGCATGCCGACATTGATTCATTCAAGGCCACGCTGATGGTGCCACAGCTGGTGGTGCTCAGTGCTCGGCGTCCGGGAAGCCTGGACGCGGGACTTCGGTGGGCACGTCTGGCGGCAGCCCAGTGCTGGCCTTGGGCCCCACCTGGCCAAGAACAAGTGGGTCACGTTCTTGGTTCATACCGGTACCACAAGCTGGTGCAAGCAGTTTATTCCACCATTGCAGTAACGCTCGCCTGCATGGCGCTCCTAGAGCTCGACGTCTTTGGCACGTCAAAGCTGTGCCCAGTCTCCTCGGGCTGCAGCGCGCCCTGCTGGGCGGAAGCGGCAGACATGGGAGTGTCCTCATCCTGCATGGGCTCGCCCCCCTTGGCGGCTCTGCAGCAAAACAGGTTCCCAGCAAAGTCAGGCCACGATTGTAGCAGCCTGAACTCGATGCTCACTGTCTGCAAGCACCCCACCTGGTCTTGTTGGCATCGTCCTGCTCCTCTGCTGACATGCCTCGCCCTGAGTGCTCGTCGCTGCCGCCGCCAGCATAGCTGGCTACAGCTGCGGTGTGGAAAGTGTGGGAGAGGGCATGGCACGCCTCCAGCCTGACGTTGGCACCATTGGACTTGAGGAGCGGCAGGGCCGCCATGAATGGGCCCTTGCCCGGCAGCGGGGGCTCTGGCAGGTCGGGAGGAATGTCAGCGGGAGGGAAAACGTCTACAGACAGTGGGGGGCAGGGCATGAGGCTGGGTGGTGACTGCTGCGACGGTCATGGGATGCTAGCTGCGCGGGGCAAGGTCTCTACCAGGCGAGGGGTAACGCGGCGGCACAACATCTGGATCACGGCGTGGAATGCCCACATCAGGCGGGAATAGATCAGGAGATGGATTGCCTGGATCTGCAACAGTAGGAGGCCCCAGGCGTCGGAGGAATACAGTGCTGGACGTGTTGTGTTCGCCGGCACACATGTCCCGCACAGGACTACCTGGCACAGGGCTGTCATGCGGGGATGCTGGAGGGTAAATGTCTGGGTGGCCAGGAAGGTCCGCAGCCCTGTCTAGTCCACGTCTCACCGCCTGCGCGCCGCCCACCGGACCACCGAGCACCGGCCGCCCAGCGGTACGGTGGGCGGCGATCACGTCAGCAATGAAGCTCCTCACCGCCCCTCCCCTGCACTTCAACAGCACTCTCATCGTTCCCATGCTACATCTTGAACCCCATTGGGTTGGCCGGCGCTGCTCGAAGTTTGTTGCCCAGAAGTGCAGCTCACCTCAAGCCGCCCAGCGCTGCTGAAGTGAGCCTGGAGGCCATCTGGCTCTGAGGCACACACCACACCCAACGAAAACAATGGAACAAGGCTGTTAGATTGGGTTAATTAATAACTGCCAAGCTGGCAGATGCTTCCCTTCTTCGTCAGAAGTTACAGAGCCACCAACAGAACTGTAGGATGTCAGGAGTGCTGCTGGCCTCGGCAGGGAGCCCAAGGCAAGCCTGCCCTGCTGGCGTCTGCTGCAGAAGAATAAGCAGGGCGGCCCACTTTTCTTGAGTGCCTAATCCCCTGCTACAGCTGCTGGAGCCTGCACCGCAGCTCCAATGCTCCAGGGCTGCGACGCGTCAGCCTACAGCCGCGTCGTGCTCTTGCCACCGTTTCTGTCGGGCGTCAGCCTGTCGTGACGATGCTGGAGGCAAGGCAGGGCTGCTCCTCTGCACAGCGTATCACGCCTCCATGGCAGACGAGGTAGACCTTCCCGCCATCCCTTTACCATGCAGGGCAACAGCAGGAGCGGTGATGGCGGGGAGACCGAGCTGCCCTTCCCCACCATCCCCCACCCAGATTACGAGGCTGAGCGGCCGCAGGAACAAACGCCCCCCGAGCCGGGGAACCCGCTGCCACAGGGGCTGCCGTCTAACCACCCTGGGGAGGAGGAGGCCAGTAACCCACTGAGTGCCCATTTAGTTTCTCGGCCGAGTGCGTGCTTCGGGGGTAGTCACGAATCACTGCTCCTACACTTTTGTGTCGCATTGATGCAGGGGCCCAAGGGGCCAGAGCCAGAGGTGCCTGTTCCGGCCATGGTGCCTGTTCCGCCAGAGGTGCCTGTTCCAGAAGTGAGTCTGCTGGCTGCAGCTGACTTGCTTGTGCTGGGTCTGCTTTGAGGGGGGGCGCAGCACAGCAGGCTGCGCTGGTAGGGAGGGGGCCTGAGTGCCTTACCTGAGACCTGATAAAAAGGTATTGAATTGAGGCACACACCCTTCCCCCCACCAGATTGTGCCATCGCCAGGCCCACCTGAGGCGCCGCAGACGGAGCCACCGAGCGAGCTGCCCCTGGGCCGTCCCACTCCACCTGAGATCCAGCCAGCAAGACCCTCAGAAATGCCCGACCGGGGCAACAGTGAGATCAGCTTCCCCTCTTGAACTTCCCTCGAGCAGCGTCTTGGCCAGCCGGGAGGAATGTACAAGGGGCCGTGGTGTAAACAGTGTTGTAGTTGTAGTCATGTATGAAAAAATGTGGATTCCAACGAGAAAATACAAGTCAAACATGCTGCGACTCATGAGCTGAGTTGTTGGTCAACGCAGAATTCACCAGCTGCATGCTCGGTGGTGCAGGCGGTATGCCCAGCAGGTTGGTTGCAGCCCCAGCGATGGGGCCATTGGCTGGCAGCTGCACGGTGGCCCAGGCAGGGTGGGCAATAGGCGCCGGCAGCGGCGGGATGGCACCACCCCAGCCCCCAGCGCCACCGCCTGGGAGCTGTGCCCAAGCGCCCAACCCTCCCATCACGCCACCGGCAACAGGCAGTTGGTTCCAGGGCACGGGAAGCTGTGGCGGCATGCCGGGCATCAAGGGAGAGGGGTGTCCCCCGAGCGGTGCACTGCCAGGCGGCACGGCCATGCCAGCCATGTCTGCTGCTGATGCTGCTGGGTGGCAGCCGGGCCGTGGGGGTCCCCCAGGCAGTGGTCCACCAGGTGGCAGGGGGAGCGGCCAGGCGGCTGGGCTGCCATAGGCTCCGCTGCAATAGGGTGGCCACACGCTGGCATAAGGATTGGGCGCTAACCCGGCAGCTGCCACCGCCTGCAACTGCGCTGCATGCTGCGGGGTGGCTGCTGCAATGCTGAGCCAGTCGGAGGGCAGCGGCCCGGCTATGGCCAATCCCAGCCCATCTGATGCGCCAGACAGAGGCTGCCGGCCCCCTGGCGGCATTCCAGGGTCCTGCTGCAGCTGCGGGTGCTGCGGCGGCTGTTTCTGCTGCGGCAGCTGCTGCGCCGGTGGTGGCACCTCGCGGTTCCCGGCAGAAATGGCTGCGGCGATGGCTGCCATTGCCGCCACCGCGCCATTTTCTGTCCTCAAACGCTTTACACGCTGGTCGGCCTCACCCTGCCCATCACTATCGCTGTGCTGATGGCTGGGCTGGATGCCAGCTGACGCTGTGCCCTGAACGCTGTTGGCGGTGGCGGCCACAGGCTGGAAGGCCGAGGCCGGATCAGGCAGCAGCGCATTGGCAGCTGCACGCACCAGAGCGTCGCCCTGCCTGCCAAGATTGCTGACTGCTGCTGCCGCTGCCATGGCGTTAGGGTCAATGATGGGCAGGGGCGGCGGTGGGAAGGTTGTGATGCCATATGCCGCCAGGTCCGGGTCCAAGAACGGCGGCATCTGCGGCAACATCGTTGGCAGGCCCACATGCGGCAGCGGCAACTGCAGGCTGGAGGCCGCGCCCAGGTTGGGGGGTGCTAGTGACAGTGCCATCTGTGGCTGCTGCGTGACGGCCGCTGCCTTTGCTCTGCCTCCACTGTGCTTGGCTGGCGCGTCGGACTTTGTGGCGGCCGACGTCGCACCTGCGGCTGCCCCCGCAGCCACTGACTTGCTCTTGCGGCGGCCGGCGCCAGGCGCCACGTCGCGCAGTGTACCACCCGCCGTCCAGTAGCGCTGGCAGGTCCGGCAGAAGTAGCGGGGCTGGGAAATGTTATAGTTGTTATAGTAACAAAACTTTGTGTCGCTGCTGTTGCAGCGCGGGCATGGGGGCTGGTCCGCTGCACATTTGAGGGCACAAGTGTTCAGGGGAACGCGTTTTGTAACAGCTTCAACCAACGCAACAGGACGCACCAGGGCGCGGCAGCTTGGGCTTGACCTTGTTACCGCCCGCCTTGGCACGGCCACCCGCTGCTGCCGATAGCTGCCCTTTTGACGGCTCAGGCTGCGGTCCTTCCGGCGTGTCCGACTCCCCTGCCGCCAGCTGGGTGGCAGCGCCCGTCGCTGCGGCGGCGCCCTGCTGGTCCATGGGTTGCCTCCTCCTGCTCTACACACAGCTGCAATGTACAGATGAAGGGATAACAATTGGTGGGCGCGGCCCTGTTCCCTGTTCCTGCACGCAAAATGGACAGGCGGCCCTTATTGCCGCTGCCCGGCGGCAATAAAAAGGGCGGCCCCAAAAGGGCATCCTCTCCATGGCAACCTCAAAAGGCAACCCAGCTTCAACCACACCACCTCCAGCACACCGCTGCTGCCTGTGGCCGTGAACACTGCCTGCACATCCACCCATGACTTCCCTCACCTGCTGCCCTTCTGAGGGACCGGCCTGCCCTCACGCTTGCCCAGAGGCCTGTGCCCTCAGCGGCGGCCTCTGCAAGTGCGGTCCGGCTGCGATTGTCGGCGGTCGCTGACCTCAGAGCTCAGGGGCCCGGGAGCCACCGCCGCGGCTAGGAGGGCGTTCTAGAACGTTTGGGCGCAATGAAGGCGGAGAAGCAGAGCCTGGATGAGGGCACCACATGTGTGGGCCTCTCCATGGGAGCCAAAGTCACTTTTGCATTCCTGGTGCACTTTTTCGCCATCGCCGAGATGATGAGGGCGCTGCACGCATAACTTTAGGCCCCATGTGTTGCGCCTTAAGGCCCCATGTGCTGCGCCTTAACACACGCCAACGTGCACCGCCTCATCCTGTTTGCAGCAGAGAAGGCAGGCAGCAGAGCAGCACTCCTGTTTGAGTTGTGCAGCTGCTGGCCTGTGTATGAACATTTTGCACTAAACAGGAGGACAAGGGGGCTCTGCTGCGAGATTCGCAACGGCGGCAGCCTCCCTAACTCGCTTGCCGCCCCGTGCTGCAGATGCCGCCCCATGCTGCAGATGCGCCGCCACTCGGATTGGTTGTATGGGCGGCCTGCTGCGGCTGCTGCCCTCCCCCACGGCCTCAGCCATGGCTACCACGGCCGTCTCCTCCGACTTGCTGCTCGTCTCTTGTGCAGCAGGCGTTGCTGCTGCGCCTGCCGCCTCCATGCTGTCTGCCTCCGCCGTCGGCAGCTGCTGCAACGGCGGCTGCTGCGAGGTGCCAGCGCCGCTAGCGACCGACATGGTCGAGGCGCTGGGGCGCTCGACGTCTGTCATGCCACTCGCGCTGCTGGCTGCCGGCTCAAACTCCTCGTCGCTGTCTGGCACATACAGGTCGTAGTAGGGCTGCGCCTGCAGGGCACGAAACAAACCCAAAGCACGCAGTGGTGCAGCCGCTTGCAAGGGGACAGAGTTGCACGGGGACAGAGCAGCTGGGTGGGGTACGCGGTGGTGCTGCAACGCTCAGTTTCCTGATGCCAGCGAGGCAGCCAGCAAAGGCAGCCAGCAAATGCACCTCTGGCCGCGGGTGAGCCGCTGCAAACTGCCGCATGGTGGGGGTGGCCCAATCAGGTGCCATCAGCACCGCCACCGCGGCCAGATTGTTGTACCGCTCTGCCTCCTCCGGCATGAACTGCGGGTAGTCGGGGGCGCTGCACGCAGGCAGCCGGGGGGGCACCTGAGCTGGGGCAGGCCATGTGCCCACAAGTCAAGTGCCGAGCGGAGGAACTGCCCGGGTTCCTGCCGCTTGTGCCCACCACCAGAAGCATATTGCTGCCGCGGCCAGTGCTGCCGCCCACTTCCTGAGCCCCATTGCATGCCTGAAGACGGTCATGAGTTTGCCCGCGGGGGTGTCGTGGTCGAGTGTGTACCCGCCGCTCATGGGCTGCATGTCATCCCGCCCCTCTCGCGCATCTGGGCCCTCATGTGACCGCAACACCAGGCGCAGGCCATTCTGGTTCAAGAAACGCTGCAAGCATGGCAAGCAAAAGCACGTAGACTTTGCTGTAACTGCCGCTTTCGTGCTGATGGCCAGTGGGTGCGGCGAAGGACCAAAAGCAACACGTACATCAGCCTATGCATCTGGCCCCCGGGCCCCAGTATAGCACCGCCGCACCCATCTGCCCATACGCCCCACCTCGGTGATATCGGGGCCAAAGCACATGCCCACGCCGCGCGCCACGTTGGGCTGGAAGCCTGGATCCCCCACTGGATCGCTCCACAGCACATCCGAGGCAAGGCGCGAGGCACCCAGGCCGTTGGGGTCCATGCCGCCCTTGGTGGCCCGCGCCAAGTCCTCCAACGTGCCCAGCGTCACGTCGTCCAGGCCTGCCGTGCCAAAAAAAGCACAGGCGCAGCCGGCGTCAACGGCAGGAGCAGCAGCACTGTGTGGACCCTCAGGCAGTATTGATTCACAACACGAGCCAGAGGCAGGTGGAGTGCAGGTGCAGGGCTGGGTGCAAGGTATGATTCCCGCACCATACAGCAGCGGGTGCGCACGCTTGCGCTTGTTTTTGCCAACGCCTCGTTGCGGCTGCCGCCGGAACAGGCCTCCGTGCACCACAAGCGTCTGCTGCCCAATCTTGGCAGCAAGCGGCAGCGAGGAGAACAGCCGCTTACAGGCCGCATACACAGGCTGCAGGGGGGTAGGCAGCAGTGCGAGGTGAGGTTGGCGGGCACAAACCGCAACCACCCAGAGGCAAGCTGGTTCCTTGACACATAAGAGCCCAGCCCTCGCCTCTGCTGTGCAAACTCACCCGCCAGTGGCTCTTGCCGTACTTGGCCACGAGCTCACCCTTGAAGCCTGCGGGCGGGCAGGCAGGGAGGGAGGGGAGCGGGGAGGCTGGGAGTCGAGATCCAGCCAGGCAGCAGCTGGCTGAACGCCTGGGGCAAGCCTTCCCCTGCGCCTCTCGCTCGGGCCGTGCTGTCCATCTCTCAGGAGCCCAAGCCCTCCTACACACCGCGCCACACAGGCACACCCACCGTAGGCGAGGGTGCAGGTGGCGCTCTCATGGTTGCCGCGCAGCAGGAACACCTGCTGCGGCAGTGCCAGTTTCCAGGAGGCCAGCAGGACCAGCGTCTCCAGGCCCCTACACGCAACAAGCCAGGTGTCTCGACAGGTAGCAACACAGGTGGCAGACTCGTGCTTGCCGCTGTGCCCCCACCACACCAACACGCGACTTATGCCCACCGAGTTCCTATAGTGGCTACCCTACTACTGATGTTGCAGGGCTGCACCCAGCTGCACACAAGGGACGCACCAGGCGCCGCGGTCCACAAAGTCGCCATTGAACACGTACATGCAGCCTGCGGCTGGGCTGCCAACCACCTCTAGCCTGCGGGCAGCAACACAAGCTCATCACACATGCAGCACATGCGCAGGTGTACCTGCCATCTCATAGCACGTATGCGTCTCGGGGCTGGCGCCCAAAGCCCCATCTGCTCACATGCGACAGACGTCGTGATACTGGCCGTGTGTGTCCCCAACGACCACCACCTGCCCTTCGGGAGGCGGCACCACCTGTATGCCCCACGTGGGCATCAGTAGGAACCAAGAGGCGAGGGCACAAGGGGGCCCCTCCGTCGCCGCTGCCACCGCCGGCAGCAGGGCCTTTGAACTTCGGCCGCGCCTGCTTCCTCCCCGGGCCCACCCACCTCCAACAGCGTGGGCTCCACGTGCAGCAGACGCTGGCAGCGGTCCAACAGCTGCACGCAGGTGTCGGCCGGCAGTACTTGCTTCAGGGCTGCGGGGCCCACGCGGCTGGCGGCGTCCAGCCTGGCCGTTGCGTTCGCCACCCATTGCGCCGAGAACCCGGTAGCCTCCGGCAGCTCCAGCTCTTGCAGCAACATCCCGCCGAACAACCTCACTGCTCCTCGATGCGCAGCGCAGGAGGCGCAGCCTGTTGTAGAAATGCCCTAGTGGTGAGATGGTACGTGCGGAGCGAGCGGGCGATGACACGCTGGCGGCGCTGTGCATTATGTTGGCCGGCGGTAAACCGGGCTCTGCGTCTGCGCCTGAGTGACCACCGTGGACTAAATTACAAAGCACTTCAGTCAGTCAGTCGTCAATCATCATGACGGGAGTGGAGCTGCAGCTTCGAAGTGATGTCAACACATCGGTCGTGACGAAAGCGTCACTGCAGACCCCAAACACTACTGGTCCACTGCTTCAGTCAAGCGCACAATCGTGCATCATAATAATGATAATGACTTGTACATCTGATGAATGGGAGCGCACTGTATGCCAGTCTTGGCAGTTTCCGTCGGCGGGACAGTCGGCGTATGTGGCGGCCCGCCGCTCAGTGGAATGGAAGCCATCATTCGGACATCATACCCAGTCCCAGACTCTCTCTCTACTTTCCTGCACTGAACGAGCAAGAGAACTCACCACCGCGCCAACATCATCCTGCGTGCTCAGCCTACTGGCTGACCTGCGATGGGAGACTATCGCAGGCACAGCGGTGGGGGATATGGTGGAGGGGCGGGCTACAAGCGGCGCAGGGAAGAAGAGGCAGCGGTGGACAGCACCAAGGTGTTGCTGTCCAGCCTCATACAAGTGGGAGATCCCGGCAAGGTGCGTGTGGAGCGTTGCGATGCTCGACTGTGGTAAACCCACCTGCCGCTGCCTGGCGCCGCTACGCTTGCCCCGCCGCCAGTTCCAGAACTCACGCGTGTGCTGCTCTCCCTGTCGTTAGGATGGCTCCATCTACCTGGATGACGAGATGGTGGGGGGCCTGGTGAAGCACCTGCGCCGCGAGACGCGCGCGAACCCGCTGCTGGTGCACGGCATGCTGCTGGACTGCGCGGTGCAGCTGCCCACCAAGGCGCCCGTGTACGCGCTGCTCGTGGGTGCGCAGAACCAGGGCGAAGCGGCCTTGAACATGCAAATCCAGCGTCCGTCTAAGCAGACGGCAGCGGCCCATAGGCCCTGCACTGACTGTGCCAGCCCTCTGTTGGCTGCATGCTGCGGGGGTGCCCGCTGCTGTGCTCACATACCTTCTGACGCCACTATGCCACCACCACCGCGCCGCAGGGTTGCTGAATGTGGATGAGCCCGAGCTGGTAGCAGGCCTGGTGCAGCGCGCCAGCGTGGAGCTCAACATCTGCCTGCAGCCGGGCGGGGATGTGCGACGTGCACGCCTGCTGCTGCGCTTTGCCGCTGCGCTGGTGGCTACCAACGTGGTGCATGCGGTCTCGCTAATGGCGGCGGTGCGGTCGCTGGTGGACACGGCTCTGGGCATTGCAGAAGCCAGTGAGTGGGGCAGCAGCAGGGATAGGGCAAGAGCAGCAGCAATTTCTGCCAATTCGCCCTGCCCAACCGGAAGTCATCAGTGGCGTCGGCCGGCTGGAGCGCGTCTGTTGCTGCTGGTTCACGACATGTCTCATGTTCCTTTTCTCTGACCAGTGCTCGCACTTTCGCCGCCTGCCCGCAGGCCCGACTGGCGACGACGGCCGCAGCTGGCAGCCCTACGCCGACCATCTGGTGTATGCATCACTCATGGCACTGCCCTGGGGCGGCCCTGAACTGGCTGAGTCGGTTCCCGAGGAAATGACAGCGCTGCTGGAGGCGGTGGATAGCTACATGTCTAGGCGGCCGCGCTCCACCCAACCCTCGCTGCGGCCCTTTGCTGCCGCCATCAAGGAGGATGACACTGTGGCAGAGTAAGCGAGGCTAACTGGGGGGGTGATGCAAGGTCGTGCATATCTGGAGCCCAAACCAGCCGACACGTTTTTCCCTGCCACTCATCAAAGACCAATCTGCAATGCATTGCTAACGTCACTGTGGCTGTCTGTGGATGAATGAATGAAACCAGCCGACACGGGTCTGCCTTCAGTGTGCTGATATGTGCAGCGCAACCCAGTCGCTAGCGCCTGCCTCCTTGCCTGCCCGCTCTGCCTCACTGGTGCCATGCCTCTCTTTTTTTTTTGCAGGAGTGACAATGGTGGTGCGAGCTTCTTGGGCAAGGTGGTTGCGGCAGTGCAGGAGATGGTGGCGGCACAGCAATGGCAGCTGGAATCGGTGCCCCGGGTGCATGTAGCGCATGAGGTCGCATTAGCAGAGGCACAGGGCAGCGACTTGCCGGCAGTGGCAGCGCCGGCTCACGCACCTGTGCAAGTGCCCGAGGGCGCGTCCCCAACCCTGGTGCGTGCTGCATGGCTTTAATGAAGCAGGGTGGGAGCTCTGGGACGAGAATCATGTGTCTCGCCCTCATGTGTCCAATGCCTTTTGAGACGAGTCCAGCCTTGTCGTCTGTGGATGACTGGCTGGCTGCTGGATCACCCTCGCTTCCCCCATTTCTTTCTCAATATGCCACCGCACAGTTGGGAGCGCTGATTTTGGAGGCCTTCCCGCCCCGTGGTATCATCCACCTCCTAGAGAAGCAGCACACACAGGTGAGTGGGTGGTTGCGCAATCGTGCAGGTGTCCTGGAGCCGGCAGCCGGCGCCGTGTCTGGCGTCTGGCTGTTGTTGCGCTCACAACAAACCCGTGCCTGGCCCGCCGCCCGCACCACCCCACCCACACTATGCAGGGTGAGCGGCTGCTGATTGAGCGGTTGGTTGCCGAGGAGTATGTGCTTGACACCTGCTTCTACTTTGAGGCAGACAGGGTGGAGTGCGCCAAGCGCCTGGCGGCAGGTGGGTAAAGATTGCTTGGTAAGAGTGCTGCATGAAGCCATGCGCATTGCCTCCACTGACTGCTCCCTGCCCCCACTACCCCCGGCCTTCCTGCCTGTGTCCCACAGGCCTGCCGCTACCATACGCGTATGAACCGTTGCTGTGTGAGGTGCTTTTTGGGCAGATGCTACGTTTGCCGCGCCCACAATTCAAGCCCCTCATGTACTCGACCCTCATGGTCGACCTCTGCAAGCTGCGCCACCTCTTCCCTCGTGCCATGAGTGCCTGCGTCAGGTGTGGGCACCTAGTCGAGTGGCAGGCATGTTTGCGCTATCACCAGGCGCTGCCGCTGTCACGGCCGCATTCGCTCCCAAGTTCACCACCCCTTTTTCACCCTTCCCCAGCAAACATCCCGCCAGGCCCCTTGTCCTCATCTTTGCAAACACCTGTTCTGCTGCCTGCCCAAATTTCCGCTGGCCCGTAGGGAGTGCTTCGCACGCATGAACGTAATGGATCCACATCTGCGCCTGCGCCTGGCTGAGTGGCTGGCCTACCACCTCTCCAACTACGAGTATGTGTGGCCCTGGGCCAAGTGGCAGCATGTGCTGACGGCACCGCCGTACGATGGACAGAGGTGGGTTTGGGGCTGGCTGTAGCGTTTGGTGGAGAAGTAAATGCCCAACAACACCTGAACGCGTGGTGGGACTGGAGGCCATCTCCCACGCAGACCCACCACTTGTGTCGGCTTTGCCCATGCATGCTCACCTTCCCAATGCCCCGCCCCCTGTTCCGTCCCTTCTGTGTCCCTCTCCCAACATGCAGGCGCTTCTGTGTGGCACTGTTGAACCGCCTTGTGCGGCTGTCGTACTGGGAACGTATCCAGTCGGTGCTCCCTGAAGAGTTCCGCGTTTTGATGCCCCCCAAGCCAGAGGTCGCGCCGCTGCCGGCAGCTGACGACCCTGATGCTGTCGCGGTGGACACAGAGGGCCACGCAGCTGCGCAGATGCTGGCACTGGTGCGCGGCAAAGCCACCCCCGAGGAGCTGGATGCTTGGATGGCGCAGCAGGTGCGGGCGGTAGGGCATGCCCATGGATGGTGGAAGTGCCACCTTACTGCCGCGGATGTGCGATTGGTTTCAGCGGTAGGGATCCGGAGCAGCTGTGCGCATACCAGCCCAGCCACTGTGCCCACTGCCTGTGCCACCCGCTCTGCAGGGCCTGGAGGCGCAACTGGGCGGGCCGCTAGGTGTGCTGCGCTGCATGGCACGTTGCCTGCTGGTGGCGGGTGCCAAGTCCTACACGCACATGGTGATCGCCCTGGAGCGCTATTATGGACCGCTCAAGAATGCGGTGGACACGGCAGGGCTGGAGGTGGGTGCCAGGTGGTCAGCAGTGGGGTGGGTCGGGAGGGAATGCTCCGACACCTGCCTGCCCAGCTGCTCGCGCTTGTTGCGTTCCGATTTACAGGGCGAGGCTGCGCTGGTGGGTGTGGCCAACTCAGTGTGGCGTGCTTCTCCCCAGCGTGCTGCCATGGCGGTCGACCGTCTCATGACGCTGCGCCTCGTATCGGCAGAGGCAATTGTGGGGTGGGTGTTTGGCAGCGAGGGCGTGACGGCGCTGGGCGACGAGTCGCTGAGCGGCGCGGCCTGGGAGATTCTGTACAATGCCATTAACAAGACCATCGCACGCGTGCAGGTGTGTTTCCATTCCGCTTGACGTTGCTGCTTCTGTTGATGCTGTCTTTCAAACACCGGCACTCCACGCATGAGCTCAGCTTTCACCCCCCCCAATTGTCGCCGCTGCTGCCCCTTGGCTTGACTTGGCTTGCTTGCTGCAGGATGCGCGTGAGGACCTTACGGCCACCGAGGCAGCGGTAGCACAACTGCAGGCGCGGGTGGATGCGCTGATGACTGCGGGGGAGATGGCGGCAGATGCGGCATCGCAGCTGGACGAGGCTGTGCAATCGCTCGAGGTGCCGTGGCTGTGTGGACCTGGTGCCTGCCAGCTGGGTTCTTGAATAGCAACAGACAGCTGTCACGAGGCCCCAATGCAGAGCCATCTCTCGCTCTTGTCTCTCCTTGTGCATGCAGGAGAAGCGCGCTTACGTTGCGGAGACGCGGGAGCAGCAGGAGTGCGCTTTCCTGCAAGTCATGCGATGCTTTGTGTCGGTGCTGTCCTTGGGGCACGGCAGCGCCATGGGGAATGCCATGGACACAGGTGCAGTTTGTGTGTGACGATGGGGCAGGGCAGGGGACAGGAGAGGCAGCAATGCATGATGCTGCCTTGAACAGCGGTTGCTGGGCT